TACTCTTTGAGAGAAGCGAGAAAGGTACCATTTAGAGCAAAACCTCGCCAAATTTCATCTTCCAAATTTCATCTTTCGAATCCTTACTGAGGCGCTTTTATTATTTCTCAACAATCTTTTTCTTCTCGATCATCAATATCAACACAATCCTTAAGGGGGAGACCATGCCAAGCTTCTTCCCTGAGGGATGACCGAAGTGGATTTTAATGATTGGGAGGGCCTTTTAAGGGCTTGATAAACCCAATACTGCTAGAATCCCTTTTTTGGGGGAGCATGCTGACCGGGTGCCTTGCTAATGTGCCAATTGGTGGGTGCTTTTGGGGCTTGATCCCAATCCAGTGGCATTTGTTGTTCCAACAACTGGGGGCCTTGCTTAAGGACCTGATAAACCCAGTATTATCAGAATCCAGATGTATCTGGCAGTCGGGAGTCTTGCTTAGAGACTTCCTTCCTAATCCGTCAGTTTTTTCTTTAAAAGGCTAGCGGTGGGGGGGCCTTGCTTAAGGGCTTCCTTCCTTTTTGCACTAAACCTTTGAATTGTCTATTTTGCTTTAGATAGATAATCAAGTAGAGCCCTTAAAGGGGCATATGAACTGCTTCACTAGCAATTGAATTGATGGCATAGGGGGTGTCTCTTTAGGACACACCCAATATACCGAGCTTAGTCAGGGGCTTTTTGGTGGCTGTCTTGAAAGTCTAAACCTGTAGGCAACTGGGGCCTTAGTAAGACGGTCTCTTTGGGGCTTGAAACCGCGATCATACTGGGACTTAGTCGAGGGCCTTTTTAGTGGCCATCCTGAAAGTCTAAGTTTACTAGTAGATAGGAACCTTAATAAGACGGTTACCCTTGAGACCGGGGTATCGATCCAGGTTAGGCAATCGATTGCCTTATAAGAACTTCCATCTCGGATTGTAAACATGCTCTTCCTGTTTTTGGTTGACGTCTTGGATTGGAGAATCTCTTCAACAAATGGCTATCCTGACTTACCATCTTGATAATTCTTTTGATCTTCAGGGGTTCTTCAACAAGGCTGAACCGAGTTGCTGGATTTTCTTAAGCTCTTTTTTGTCTTGATAGTGAGGTACCCCTGAGGGTTATTGATTCCTAAATCACCAAGCTTTTGCTATCCTTGGATTGGTTGAAGCCACCTATGAGGGTGAATGCTGCATCAACCTGTTTATTAGTCCAGCCGCATTTTGGGTTTTCACCTGAACTGGATAGAAGTGGCGCCACAAAATGGTTTTCACTAACTTCTTGTATTGAGGCTCTTTTACCCTTGACTTTGAGGTCACGTCCACCTTTTTATTTCCATTTTTACTCATGGTACCCTTTTGGGTTTTCACCATGCCCGGTTTTCTATTTTAGAACACGTTTACTCGTGATTTCATGGCCACATCCGTCTTTCATTTTTACTCATGGTGCCCTTTTGGGTTTTCACCATGCCCAACTTTATTTTTGGCAATCTTACCCATAACTTCATGGCTATGTCTACCTGAAGCTCTCACTTTTATTCATGACAATCGTTATTGGATGCTCATCATGCTTAGCCTCTTTCTTTTTGTATGATTTTACCCACAGCTTCATGGCTATGTCCGTCTCTATAAAAGAGAAAGCCTCCTCCTTGATGATGCATAGGATGGAGGGGTTATAACTGTAAAAAGCTCAGTGGGGTAATAGATACCATGGGTGAGGCTTTTATTATGAGGGTGAACACTACTGGAGATGTTTTGGGTTTTGCAAGATCGTGAATGACTCATGCTTGCCGGGATATAAAGGTTTTGGTGGATTAGGAGATAATTGGTGTACAAAAACTCCCTGGGGATAATATGTATCTCCAAGGTGGAGATATGGTTACCTCCCTGGGGACTGAAAAGCTCCCTTGAGTGATGAAGATATAGCATGTTTCATACACTGGTCATAGTGTAGCACCACTGGGGATGATGACCCACCACTGAGGATCATAGACCAATGAAGTGACAGACCACTGGGGTAGTGATCCACTGGGATGACGAACCACTAGGGGTAGTGATCTACTGGGATGATGAACCACTAGGGGTAGTGATCCACTAGGGATGATGGACCACTGGGGGGCCCTATGACTCTTTGAGCATAGTATTACTCATGGGGTCTTATGAACGCTCAAATGAGTAGGATATGTTTGGCATGACTCCATGGGGATGATGGACTTCGTTTAAGTGAAGCCCAAGTAAAGGGGTTTCTAGGATGGTTTCTGGTGAATGGAATTTCAATGAAAAGGGTAATTTCTGACTCATGGGGACGATAGGTCAAGTTGATGGGGTGATTGGGACTCCCATGGTTTTTATGAGTCATCAGGGTCTACAGTGAAAATCATGATTTTTGTGAGCCATGCATCAATCAAATGATAGGCTTATCTGCAATTTTGAAGCTTCCTGCAAAGGTGTATCTCCAGTGGTGTTTGACCATATTAGGGTCAAGAATATTCTTGCAAATGCTCAATGTATTTCCATTGGGGATCAGGCATTTTAAGAATGTGTCTTCGTCGGGGATGAGACATAAGGATAGAAACATCCTTAGCAATGATGATGACCTGGGTGAGGCACACCATTTTTGGGATACCTAATCTGATGGTTTTAAAAATGGTTTTGAAAACAGATCTCAGATGGGTAACATGGATCCATCAAAATTCATTAAACTGAGCCCAAGGTTTTACTGGATGAACAGGTTTAGGATCTAAACCTAAAGGGTTTGAAAAAGGGGCTATGGAGCTCAGAGTTTATGGGCTTCATAGAGCTCAGGATTACCCACCGGGGGTTAGTGTGTGTAGGTAGAACAAAGAGCATAGCCCCTTTGATTACCTTGTGTCAATGTGCACAAGTGTGTGTTGAGCTCATGATTAAACCATGGGCTCATGTGAATTAGTTGATAGATGAGAGAGAGGCTTTTGCAAGGGAATGAAGCGAGTCCATGTGTTTAAGTGCATGAGAGAGAGAGTAAAAGAAAACATGGGAGAGAGAAGTGACGGACCCGCCCTAGGTGCAGGTCTGTGTAGTTGATAGTGAGAGAGTGAAGAAGACATGAGAGAGAGAGGATGACAGACCCGCCCTAGGCGTGGGTTCGTGTAGTTGATGATGGTGACAAGAGGAGGTGCAGGGAAGGAGTGACGAACCCACCCTAGGCATGGGTCCGTGTGTTTCGAAGGAGGAGAGGGAGAGAGAAGAGAGAACGTGAGAGAGTAGAGAAGGATAAGAGACGGGCCCGCGCCTGGAAGCTTTGACAGAGAGGAGAGAGAGAGGTCCACCTGGGCCTTTGTGGGCTCGGTGGCCCGGACCAGAGGCCCATTTATGGCCCAAGATGGGCACCTTTGGACTGGTATGGGCTCGAGTTTTGCAACAAGCCCGGGTTTGTCCCATTTTGACGCCGTTTGGCGATTATTTCCACTTTTGCCCCTGGGAGATTTTTGGAATCAAAGGGGCAATCAAGGGCAGGGCGGTCATTTTGCCTCTTTCCTTGACCTTTAGGCCCTCCACCTTCTTAAAAATGACACTTTCCTCCTTGTGGACTTGCATGGAATAGAGCTGTTGTGGGGGTATGTGATGGAAATGTATCATGCAGGGGCTATACAAAGGGCAAGGGGGGGCTTCATTTTCTTCATTCTTCCTCATTTTTATGATTTTAGAGAGAGAGTAAGAGAGACCCATCTCTTAGAGTGAGAAAGTGACCTTTGAAGATGACTTTTGAGACCAGGTAACCATTTCTTTCACTCTTCTTCTTCTTGTCAATTTGGATGCTTCTTCATCTCTTTCTTGCTTCTTCTTTGTACGCTCTATTCTTGAATTTATGCATGAGTAACGTGGTCTTGATAATTTGGATATCCTTGAGCATATTTAAACCTTCTTTGAGCATGCTTACATATTAAACTTTCTTTGAGCATCTTGAGCATGCTTTGGGCTTCATGAATCAATCTTGAGCATCACAAACGTGGCATCACAAATATATCTAAGTATCATGAATTTTTCTTTGCACCACAAATATTTTTTTCTTGAATATCTTGTGCGTCACAGATGTCTAGAATATTGCAAATTTTTTCTTTGAGCACCCCAAATATTTCTTGAATACCCTGAATATTTCTTGAACACTCCTAAAATATTTCTTGCACGCCTCCAAATATTTCTTGAATCATCCCAAATATTTCTTGCACATCATGAATGTCTTGTTTCGAGTATTCTGGGTGTCAATTAATATTTCTGTGTACACCATGAACATCTTGCAACATTTTTATCAGGCGCCCTTCGCATTCTCATGTAACCCTTCACATTCTCATATTCTTTTATGCATGCCTTAGCATCCAAAGCATCTTTGTAGCATCTTCACGTACCCCTTGTATTCCTAGTGCATTTTTGCATCTCAATCTAATAGCTTCAGTACCTCCACTGGTTATGCATTTTAAAAACTCCATTGAGCACTTCTAAGCATTGTCATGCATTTTCTTTTTGAGAAATGGTTTACTTGCATTAAAATTGTATGGAATTACAAGTACACAGTTCCGCAGTCACCCACAGGCGGGGACTCGGTAAAAAATCATGAGGTCAGGTTTATACAAAGATATAACAACAATACACGGTTGCCGCGTTGTCATGCATCTTCTGATGTAGTTAAGCATAGTTTAGCATAGTTATGCATAATTATGTATCTTTTGAGTACTTCCATGCATAGTTATGCATTTCTGAGCATTTTCATGCATTTCTTGGGTACTTCTATAATAGGAAAGGGAGCTCTTCAGGATCATTTTTCGCGATGGGCATTTGACCCACGGACTTGTGATTTCTTAGAATCTCTTGGGTGCTTTGGACTAGCCAAACACCTTTTCTGTCGATCTCCTGCATATGGGGGAGATGCTGCCGAAATTTTGCAAAAATCTTTGATGCTTTCTTTTCTTCTTTCACTTGAAAAACCTTATCCTTTTGAATTGTTATCTTGCTCAACTGCTTACTTTTTTTCTCTTGTACTTCTTTTGCAGTCGCATCCCATCATAGAACGAATACTCGAAGCTCGAGTAGGGCTTTAACCTTTGGAATAAGAGGAATCGAACTCTGGAAGATGCCATCATTATCCTTGATGACACTGAAGAGGTGACTCCTTTAGCCATCCAGAGAGGAACAAAAGGAATTATGACCCCTACGATGCAAGCGGAATCAAGAGAATGTCCAATCCCTATCATTACCTCTAGCTCAGGGCAAGTTATTGACCCCCTTGACTGGCGTACCGTGGAGGAATTATCATGGAACAAGTTAGGCTGCCTTTCCCTGATCAAGTCAAGAGACTCAATCGTTGTAGTTCTAATATCCGCACCATGGAGATAGGGCGTGATCTTCTCAGAGCTGCTTATCAACTTTTTGGCCATGCCTCCTTCTCTGAACTAGTCATGTTCCCATTCTTCATGAAGAAGTTGATGAAGAATTTCGCAGACTTCCATGTTCCTGGTGCTGGTTTAGTAAAGGAAAAGATGGAAGCAATAACTCCAGGGAGGTCTTGGAAATAGAAGACCTGGTTTCTATTGAGAAGAATTCGTCTATCGCACCTTTGCTGAGACTCCTTTCTGGGTCTTTATCCATGCTGGATCTTGCTGAGGCATTTTTGGGCAGACTTGGGACCGACTTGCTCCTGCGACAATTTGTTCATTCGGATTTTCAGCCTTCTCCTTCGAAAAGGTCTTTGACCTCCAGGAAAATTGTACTCCTTGAAAATGAGAGTGATATGGCCATTCTCGAAAGATATATCCAACAGATATCAAGTTTGCTCGCTTTGGCTCACAAGGAAATGGAGAACCCGTTGTCATCCCAGCTTGATCATGAGGAATATCCTCCTTTGGTCAAAAAGATCAGCCATCTTAGGGGAGCAATATTAAAAGACAAGATAAAGAAGGTGCAGCGGGATTACTTCAGACTTAGTCGTCTGAAGGAATGATTCCTCAACCCTTTCTTCTTCAAGGCAGACAACCATAGTGTTTTGTCTTTTTGATAGACAAGACTTTGCTTCTTTCTAGCTTATGTAAGGTGTGATGTTACGGCCATACAGTCCTGTTTGTTTAGTTCTTCTTGACTTTGTATTTCGAAGCCACAGCCTACAACTTGTGGTCTCCATTTTGCTAGCCGTTATTGTCTTTCATTTTCCTCTACTGATGACTCTTTACTTCTGTAGTAAGTGTTCATGTCCGTATCTTGAGGTAGCCAGCCTGCAACCTGTAACCTCTATTTTGCCATGTAATGAATGCTCTTTTCTTTCAGCTTTGACTTGTCTGCTCTGCTTTATGCTTTGCTTCTTCTCTTAATGTCTTGTGATCACCCCTTGTCTCCTCTTGAAGGGGGTAAGAGATGAACTTCGAACTAGAAGCATGTTTGGTCTCCACCACATGTGACTTGACCGCCCTCTCGGGTTTTTATCCAAGTCTTTGGGGTATGTGTCATTTTTGGTTTTCACAAAGACCCCCATATTTATATTTTTTGTGGCGCTTTTGCCTATGGTTTTTACACTATGTTTGTCATTTTACATTTTCTCACAATGCCTTTGCGGGTTTTCATCGTGCCCATTTTTTTTCTTTGCTTTATTTTGATGTATTTTACTCGTAATAGTTGGTGATACTATTACGCTCGTCATTCTTTTTTTCTTTCTTTTTTCTTTCGTTGTATCTTTTACCCATGAAGCCCTTACAGGTTTTCGTTATGTCCATCTCTTTGAGGAGGCAATTTTAAGGTCATGCCACCATGACTATGGGGGGGCATATTTAAGGTCATGCCACCATGACCGTCGATTTAGTGTATTTTAAGGTCATCCACCATGACCTAATGGAGGCAAGTTTAGGGTCGTGCTTTCGAGACGTAAAGTTAGTGTGTTTTAAGGTCATCCACCAATACCTAATGGATGTAATTTTAAGGTCGTGCTTTGGAGACGTGTATGATGCAGTTTAACGTCATGCCACTAGGATGTGGGCTATGCAGTTTAAGGTCTTGCAATGACTGGTGCCACGTAGTTTAGGGTCGTACAGCTTAGACCGTTGCCATGCAGTTTAGAGTCGTGCGGCTTGGACCAATGTCTATGAATAATACTTTTTTCAACTATCTCCCGTTAATTGGGGGCATAGCTTCTTCACCTTCAGCATTAACCAATACATAGGCTCCATTAGGAAAGCTTTTTTCACCACGAACGGCCCTTCCCATTTGGTTCAAACTTCCGTTTTGTTCGACCATGAGTAATGATTGGTCTTCTTACTGTCAGAACCAATTCTCCTTTAACAAATGACTGTATCCAAATCGATTTATCAAAGGCCCTCTGCATAAAGTTTCTATGATTCTCAAGACTTTGTTGTGCTTGCAATATCTTTTCATCGAGTGCATCAAGTTCTTGACAGTAGATAGCAGCTTGCTCCTTATCCGTCATCCCATAATGGAGGGCTATTTTGAGTGAGGGCAACTGAATTTCCAAAGGCAATACAACCTCACCCCCATATACCAAAGAATAGGGTGTCAACTGAGTTGGACCTCGAGCTGTGATATGATAAGCCCAAAAGACTTCAAGAAGTCTTTCATGCCAATCACTTTTCGTTTTTAGAAACGGACTTTCTTAGTACATCACAAAGGGTTTTGTTAAAAGCTTCAGCCAGCATTAGCTCTTGGATGGTACATGGTCGAATACTTCCATTTAAACCCGAATTGATTGACCCGACGGTCTATATGATGGCTTCAAAACTAAGGACCACTGTCTGATATGATTCGGTCAGGCACATCGAATTTATAAATGATATTGTGACGCACAAAATTAGCCATTGTAAGCCCTAGAACTTTCTTGAGAGGAATAGCTTCAGGCCATTTTGAGAAGTAGTCTATTACAGCAAGTATAAAGACTTGCCCCAAAGAAGTTGGTGGATCGATAGGACTCACGATATCCACACCCCACTGAGCGAAAGGACATGATGCTACTGTCTGATGAAGAGGCTCAGGAGCTTGATGAATAAAGCTCGAATGAATATGGTAAACCGGACAATTTCTTGCAAACATAAGTCAATCAACGCTCATACTAGGCCAGTAATAGCCTATCTTGATCATTCTATTGTACGTAAGACTGATGCATCCCACAAACTCCAGCATGAACTTCTTTGAGTACAGTGTGTATGTCTTTCCGATCAATGCACCTAAGCAGCATATCATTGTAAGAGATTCGAAACAAGATACCATAACGACACACATATCGTGTGGTTGACCTTCGGATCTTGTTATGTTCAATGGGGTTGTCAGGAAGCCGATTGTGCTCCAAATATTGGTTTATAGGGGTTCGTCAAGGGATAACCTATTTAACCTTTATCGGTTTATTTCTCTATACCCAGTTAACATGAGTTTTCTCCAATTAGACCGACCTAACACATTAAGCACAGTCCAGTATCAGCAAATATCATTTGATTAGTATGGCCCACATGGGACCACACTCCCACTGAGTTCATGTTCTACTATATAATTTCATTTACAAGCGCTCATAAGGCCTTTAATGGAATACACACCCAACAGTTTGGTAGTGGGGTTCCAGCCAATTGAGGCAAAAGTCAAACGAGAGTTGCAAGTTTGAACTTCTTGCGACCAACGACAACCTTCTTGTGATCGCAACTTTCGCATCGGGTGACCTCCTCATCCTTCTAGCTACCCTTTTCACATATCGGAGCTTTTTACCTCATATGTGCTCTTTTTAAATCAAATCTAAGATTTTTTCTTTAAATATGAGCTTCTTGATCCCAAATCTGTACTTAAACATGAGTTTCTCTCTTCATTTTCTTTCCCTCTCTTCTTTTTTCATACCTCTTCTTTTGGCTTTCTTTGTGATTTCTTTTTTCTACCCCTTAAATCTCTCTCTGACCTCCCCTTTCTCTCTATCCTTCTTCCTATCTCTTATCCACCCTTCCTTTTCCCTATCTTTCTTATTTTTTTGATCTTCCCCTTATCTCCTCTCTTTTCTCTTCCTCTTTCTCTTCTCTTTCCCCCTCTTCTTCCTCCTCCATTCTTTATTTTACTGCTATTATTTTTTTCTTTTTTCTTTTTTTGCATGTTTCATTTTGCTCGTCATCTTTTGCATACTCGTTCTCTCACTCTCTCATGTTGCTCTCTAATCTATTATGTTTGCTTTATTTTGTTCTCTCAGCTTAGCTTTCTCTTCATCTTTTCATGAGGGAGAGGTTTTTTCCTGTCTTTGCGTTCTCCTCTTTTCGGTACAGAATAGAAGCGTGTGGGAGAGGAGCCTCCTTTTCTTGCTCCCTTTCTCCTTCATCCCCAACTCTCAACTCTCGTTAACGCTTAAGATGAGTTTTATCCTACTAGGGGGATAGGCACCCTGTTGATGAAGTTTTGGTTTCTACAAGGTTCTCCTATAGAAGGTTCCTGTATTTAGCCATTTTAGGTTAAGTCCTAAAGATAGGGAGTGGCTTGTTAGTGGGCCTATGTAAGCATTTCGTTGTAGAGGTGGAGGCCTTCCTTCAGAGGCCTTGATCTCCTTATGGTCATGGTGTGAGGTTTGAGTCGAGTGGAGGAGTCCAAGGTCTGAGAAAATTGCTTTGATTGGGTTAGTTGAGGTCCTTGTTTATTGGCGATGCTTTGATTGGGTTAGTTGAGGTCCTTGTTTATTGGCGATGCAAGGACCATCATGGGTGAAAATGTTTGTGGTTTGTTAAGTTTAGGCTGGTCATATTGAGGAAGAAGAGTCATGTATCTCTCTATTTCCTCATCTTGTATCTATCGTAAACTTGTGAAGTTTTGCTTTTTTATTAACAAAAATAAGGTTTTAGAAAAATGGATTGGTGACTCGAATTGGCCATCCAAATAACCAGGTCAGATCGACTATTTGGATTGGGGAATCAGCTGGATCGGCTGGATTTCACCTTGACGTTTTTTAAAAAATCCTGAAAAATTTGTTAAAATATTAGTTTTTGAGTTTTCAAAAGGATAGTACATTATGTAATTTCATTATTTTGTAAAAATACATAAAAATTGAGACATTGTTTATTGTTAGAGTGTCTATCGGTATTAATGATACTCATTTTGATACTAGTTTTCGTATATTTTTTTACAAAAATTTTTATACTCATTTTGTGATTTTTAGTAAGGAAAAGCAGAAGAAAGTGATTTTTAATCGTAAATACATGATATTAATTGTCATGTTTTTGTGTGATTTTTCTCTCATACACATTAAACATCTCTCTCTCACATACATATAAAGCACATTAGACATCTCCATCTTTTTTTTTAACATAACATCTCCATCTCTCTCACACGTATGTGTAGGATCTTAAATGATCACCATTAAAGTTGGCATAGATCTCTAAAAAAGTTATCACATGGATGTGAGATTTGATTTTTTTATAAATCTGTGTCAAATTTAATTGTGATCCTTTTAGGTCTTACACACATGTGTAAAAAAATGTCCAATAGGATCATTTCTCGAAAAAAAATCTAAAATTATTTTGCGGGGACGGGAAGGCATATGTACATATGAGTCTGCCAACTCATAGAAACCCATTCTTATGTTAGGCGCTTTTCACCAATGTTAGTCCACGTCGTGCACTACCAACGGGTCGGGTCATTCGGCGGAGTACGAGGATAATGGAATGGTCGGTTTGGAAGCGCGTGCACCACACAAGCAAGCCTCAATGGGTGGCTCCTCATCATACGGGGGTGCGGCCATCCTACTATTTTTTATTAAAAGTTTAAATAGGATAAAAGAAACAAAAAAGTTGTTTCTTGTTTAGAAATTTAATGAAAGCCTCGTCACCGATCAAAATCGTTAATTTTTTTAAAGGGGGTGGTTTCTATAAGGTTGCAACCTCAAACAATCCAATTAAGGTGCACCTCCAAATTTTATTATAACATATAATTTTGGAATAAAAAATTATTAAGATTATCTGAAAATCTAATTTCATATCTAATTATAAAATTTTAAACACCAAAAATAGTTTAAATAAAGTAGATCTATAAACATATGAAAATCTTGAAACTGGACAATCTAGATAATGTATTCTAAAATGCACTATTTTCGGTACTCAAAATATATATTTTTTGTAATATTCATACATGTCGAGATAATCAACCAGAGGGTTTTTCAACACTAAAACAACCTTCTCCAATGGATTTTAGAGGTACATCCATATTTTTACATTTTAAGGTTGCAACCTTATATAAACGTTTTCTTTTTAAAAAAAAGTTAAATTAGGGTATTTATACATGTGAGCATTTATCTAAGGGATAAGTTTAT